GGAGCAGATTGAGTCTCCTCAATAGTTTGAGATGTAATTTCGGGGCCACGCACGCTAGAACATTAATTTTTACCTATAAAACTTTTATTAGACCTATTTTTGAATACCGTTCAAACATTTATAATACAATACCAAAACCAGTCAAAGAAAACCTATTAAGCCTAGAGCGGAGGATTCTGCGTAGAGTGAATGGCAAACGCAACGACTACCCTTCAGCCCTCATTCATCAACTATCTAATATCCAGCCCATAAATGAGAGACTACACTCTCTGAGCAGAAGTTATACTACACGCACTATCCGGAGCCAAAACCTCAGAGCTCAACGCATCCTAAAAACTGTCTGCTCTTCCCGCGGCAATGTATTCACCAGACATCCTAAACCCAAAATCCCACACCTACCCGCAATTCTACTGGAACTCGCCAGTAAACGAACTCCCTGATGAATACATTGACATACAGGAGGCAACTCCCCTCTATTTTCGTCGCATTCCAAGCTAAATTGCTCACTTCGAGCTTGCCTAGACAGGGGGGGATCGGTTTTCTGCGGTTTCCCGATCCCACTTGCAAATGATACCTGTCTATTTTGAGGATACAGCCGCAGCTGCCCTCACGCGTCGCGATAACACATTTAACACATTTACTATTTAACATATTAATGCATGTATTTATACATATATTAATATTGCATTCTGTACATATATTAATTTAACATTCACTAACTATCACTAATATATTTTTTAGAAAACAATTCTGAAAAGAACCGACCACTACCTTTCTCCGCTGATTGCCCTGGCTACAGCCACCAGTGGACCACCAAGCAAAGAACCAGAAGCCAAACACCAACAACCCAAGAACCACATCCTGAAGAGGCAAAAGCCTATAACAGGATGCCAAAACCCCAAAACAAAGAAGCACCATACCAAAAACAGAGAGAACCAACGCAACAATGAAGTGTGTGTAATCGTCGGATTCACTCCCCGCCTCTCGACGCGTTAGTGTTCTGAGCTGTTGGACGTGAATCCCTGTCCTGGCATTTGGTTTTCACCTCTGGCTGCGTTGAGTAGTTGAGTTACTGTGACCAAATGCCCATCTTGGTAGTTAGTATTCGCCTCTGGTTGCGTTGAGTAACTGAGTTACCGTTGCTAACTACCCATCTTCCTGTTCTGTTGTTTTCTTTTTTCTTTTTCTTTGTTCTCCTGAAGAAGCTACATACAATTGTAGCGAAACGTCGAGATGAACCCACTTTTGGGTCACTCACAAATGACACGGTCCAAACCCGGAAGACGAATAAACTATAATTCTGACTCTGGCCGTGGAAGCCTACGATTTCAAATATTTCAAGATTTAACTTGTTTTTACCGTCCCCGGTTTCCCTTAGTATTACCAAAGTAAAATTATATCTTGCATGTCTACATTTAAAAATACTTAGGCAAATCTATAGAATAAGTGCCGAGAATTTGACATAAACGCCATGTCAAATTTGAGTCTGCGGTATTGCTATGTCCTTATTATGTGTATGTTTTATGCCTCAAATATGCTTTGAAACAGTACATTTTTATTATATTATTTTATGAAATCGGGTATTTTTTAAAATTTTTTGAATTTATATGAAACACGAACGAATGAATATTTGTTTCTTTTGATATCAGTTGCAGTTAGTTATTAGAAAAAAAATTATAATTGGCCTTTGGTAGATTAGTAAATAAACTTAAAATACTGTCAAAATTTTGAAAATAGTAGTTGCCAGATTGCAACAGATGTTTAGCAGATTTCAATTTTATGATTTTTATGACTATTTTCTTATAATTTTGGGGTGTAATGGTACTTGAATATCGTTTTGTTAATGTATTAGCTAGTTACTGGAGCTTGTTCAGATCGATATTTTTTCAAATTTACGTTGCAGAGATTAAATTATCATTATTGACAATTTAATCCTTAAAATGTGAATAACAAAGTAAAAATATATCGGTAAAGATGTTTAATTAAATTTAATAACTTAAGAATTTAAAAGCTTAAAACATTAAAGGTAATTTAAATTATAATAAATTAAATTTAAATTAATTAAACTTCTTTCAAAAACTTAAAAAGAATGTTGAACATTAATTAATATTATATCGCACGCTCTTTCAGGATTTATTTGTGATATGGCAACACTGCCAAATACAGATCTGTCACTAATCTTCTGTCAGTTCCTCGGCACTTGTTCTATAGGTCTGCCAATTAGAGAAGTGACGATATAACAGGAACAGTTATTAATAACTGGTTACTGACAAATAACAGTGATTAATAGTTATCCAATAAATAAGTTACTAGTTATTCAGTTATTTTTTATATCAAGTCAGTTACTTGACTAAACAATCATTCTGTTAATAGTATTGTAACATACCGAGCCCAGTCAGGTATTACTCGCTACTAAAACGTAATTTTCGCTTTTTAACTGTCTGAATAACCGTCTACCAGAATAACTGTGTACCAGAGTAACCATCTATCAGAATAAAGGCAGTCAATATATTAACGCTAATGTACGTTACTGGAGTAACTACTAAGTAAGTTACTGGAAAGATTAGAGTTCGCGTTAAAATATTGATTGTTATTCTGATAGACGGTTATTCTGGTAGACGGTTATTCTGGTGCACGGTTATTCAGGTACACGGTTATTCAAACAGTTGAAATGCAGAAATTACGTTTTAGTAGCGAGAGTAACTAACATCCGTAGATGTAGAATGACATGAAAAAATGCAAATTCATTATATTGTTAGATATGATGTCAACAATAGAAATAAGAAGAATAACAGGCAATGGATGAATGGATTAGTAATTAGCCTTTCGTAGAAAGTTAGAAAATCGATTAGCATATTTTATTTCGACAATATAATCTGATATTTCCACGCCAAAATTCCTCTTAAATTTTTATAGATAGTAGAAAGATGGTTAGGATGGTTAGATGTAAATTCCGGCTTGGTATTTCCAGATAAAAATTACCTTTGATTTGAAGGTGGATGAAAATTATTTGAAATTATAACTTTAGTTATTAATTTAATTTAGTATAAGTTTTACCCTCACTGTGATAAGGTGAGTCGAGCAGTTTGTGTACAGGTGGTAATGTGGTATTGTCTTGAAAGTACAATTTTTACCTAGAGGTATAAAAATAGACAAATTTTGTATTCTGACCCTTATTTAAGGACAAACTCTAAGTCTCTTATATAAATATTAGGACTATCAAGAAGAACTTGGTCAGATTTTGACTTGAATACCTTAAATAACTGATAACTGTTTAAAATAACAGTTATCCGAAAATAACTTCCACAGTTATAATGGTTATTTAAAAATAACCCCTAAGCACATCACTACTTGATACTTATATAATAAAAACCATTAAAATTATGGGTAATTATTTACTAAGCCGGAACGCCTTAAAAATGCCCAATTTTTTGTGGACTTAGCCGAAAAAGTGAAAACAACCTCAAATTTTAATGTTTTCTTTGCTTTGAACTATTAAAAGTGCCCAAATAATCAAAAAAATCAGAAAAAATACAAAAAAAAGTATTATGAACCAAAAAAAATTACATAAAAAGCAAAGAAAAGTATATATAAATGTCTTAATAAAAAAAACGTAACTAAAACATATTAAATATCACTATTTTTTACTGTAAAATTATGAAAAAAATGCGTAAAATTGTTTAAAATAATCAAGATTTTTAATTTCAAAACAATATGGCGGCCATGCGCAAGAAGTTAAATTTTATGTACTTTTGACATTGTTGGCAGTTTTAACATTTAAAATACCTAAATTTTAAAATTTAATGAAAATTACATTTACATTTTAATATTAAAAATGCAAACCAATAAACCAAATCTAACCCAACAAGAAAACATGACAATAAAACTAAACCAACCTAACCTAACCTAACGCTCGTAAAAAAGCAGTAATAAGAATAAAATTTTGTAATATAATTAAAAATCAAATTTTTTATTTTTCATAAGAAAATATGATAAACGTAAAGAAACGTAACCAAACCTAACCTGACCCTTGTAAAAATAGGAATATAATTAAAAATCAAATTTTTTATTTTTCATAAGAAAATATGATAATAAACGTAAAGAAACGTAACCAAACCTAACCTGACCCTTGTAAAAAGGTATAATTTTCAGTTAAAAGTAGGTAATAATAAAATGTTATTTTAATGTCCAATTTGAAATTAATTAGAAAACATAATTTTGAATAACTCTGGCAACACTGGTTAAAATTACCATTTTTGACCATAAGAAACAGTTGTCAATGTTGTCATTCTTGTTGTTTCATGGTAAATAATGGCGGTGGCTTTTAAAAATCGGGCATATTTTAAATGGAAATTACATAAAAAATAACGTCTTGCACCGCATAAAAATCATTGCACAATTATTAGTAAGTGAAGCAGAATTCATTGATATAAATTTCATCTCCGTAAACATGGTTCCGGCTTATTACACTAGTACCAAATTATGCTTAATATAAAAATTAATAGTATAGAAATTTTAAAAACTACAGAATAAGTAAAGTTAAATGAAAATAAAACAATTAGGTTAAACAAAAGAATACACTAAATATTTAGCTATATTTAAAGTAAAAAATACTATTTTATGAATGCTTTTTAATATGAATTCAAAAATTGTGACTTTTATATTATATAAAAAATTATACAATAATATGAACATTATATAAAAATTAATGGAACAATCCCAGTAGTTGACTGTATACCATCGTTTAAAAAACTTATACAGAAGTAAAACACTTCACATGTGTATTTAGGTATATACCTAAATACAAATGTGAAGCATTTTACTTCTGTTCTGTATGTTTTTAAAACAATATAATCATTTCGTCAAAGTATCTTTCCATTTTAAAAACTCCTATACTTTATACAAAAAAATGTGACAACACTGTGACGCACAAACATATAATTTGATGCCAAGGTTATGTTCATTGTACTCAAATTCAATTTAGCCAAGATTTCACTTACTTTGGATAATATTTAAAACCATGATAATGTAATCCTTCTTCATACCAATTGAAAGCTCGTGAACTGATACTTCTATATATTAATTTAAAATGGAGAACAGTACTTAACAAAACCATTTTACCACGACGAGTTGACTATAAATACCACAGAACACTAATCCGTAATCACAACCAGAGAACTACGAACGCATGTTCGTATGTGTTCGATGTGTTCGTATGTTCTCTGATCACAACCACAGAATAATAAACAAACAGAATACCCACTCTCCACGGAAAATTAAGTACGCGCATCTCCTCCGCGCAGACCAATGACGTATAATATATAGACTACGCAGTCCCCTATTCTCGCTATAGAATCAAGTGTCCGAAAGATCTCGGCATGATCTCGGCTCAAGGTTGGAGGTATGTTTATCAAAACAGCGGCGTGCTCATTTATATGTTAATGACAATAATTATTTTTTTAATTAAAATTAAATATTTATGATTTCTTTTTGTTCCCGTCTATAAGAGAAATAATTATTTTGATAAAATAGTATGGCATTTTACTAAAATAGTAAGTAAATAACTCTCAACAATTTAAAATAAAATTTGCTTGTCACACAAAATGGAGTACGTCCATGATGTTTTCAAACACAAGATCAACTTCGTGATGCTTCGTAAGAAATCATGAACTTCGTGCATCTTCGTATCAAAACAATAAACAATAACAAAGGTATTCATGTTTTGGACACTTTCAGGGGGTTCAACTTCAATCCGTAAAATGTAATCATTGAATTAGTTACAGAACACATCACCAAGCGCTATTATCGGTAGATTCTGTAGATCACAAAACATTATTAATGTTTTGTGCTAAAATAGCGATGCCTTCATAACTGGCGTCTGTCCAATGTTATTGTCATAATTCTCGAATGTCGAATATTAATTTGATGTTGACGATTAAGTATTAATTCAATATTTGTTTTTTGTGTTTTAGTTAAAAGTGCTGTTAGATCAAGGAATATCGTATTTAGGATTAGAAAATTGAAATATCGTATTTAGGATTAGAATATTAATTGTTTAGTTAAGGCGTGGTATAAGGATATTTGTTTTTTTTTAAGTTAAGTTAGAAGTTAGTACAAGCTTCTATGATTCCTACTCTCATAGCATATTAATTTAATATTATGTATTAATTACTACATGTTTTGAGTTTGATTAAATGAAAATTATAGGTCTAATTTAATGTCTCTGAAAACTTTCAGAACTAATTTGTCACATTTATTCGAATATATAATCAGGATTAGAGTTCTATCAATATTACCAACTTTACAATATTACCAACTACACAAGGCGTTTGTCAATTAGCAAGCTCTCCAACATGATAAAAATATTGATTAGTACCAGAACACTCCAACGTGGCGCTGATGATCACTACATTTTTTTGTACAGAAGTAGGTTATCTAACCAAGGCTGCCAGGTCTAGGGATTTATCCCGAATCTAGGGATATTTCAGTATAAAAGGGACAAAGGGATTTTTTTGATATTTAGTGTAAAATCTAGGGATTTTGACCGGCTCAAATATTTACCCACATAGGCCTATTATAATAACATTTTCTTTAATTCAGGTATAAAACCACTTCGTATTAACAGTATTAAATACACGATCTTTCATTACAACTAATTAAATCAACAGTAAACTACTTAAAGATTCTATTATCAGATGTCGCTAACTGTCCACGTTCTTGGAATCTTTATTTTATGCTACCAAATAGATTTCTGTCAAAAGTAGATTCCTATATATTTTCAGAAAGAAGCAAATTCTGGAGCTGGAATTAGGGGATTTACAAAAGTCCTAGCTTTTATAAAATAAATAATTAGGGGATTTACAGTAGGAATCGGGTGATTTACAGGATTCGTGAAAATCAATAAATAAAATTCTATGCTTCACCGTTTCATTTCTCTTCAAGTTGTATTTTGTATTAATTTTATTAAGTAAATATGTAAAGAATACGTACGTTATTCCGTTTTTGTTAAATTTATTCAAATGATCGCTATTGTACTGTTTATGAAATAAAGGTATAAAACAACAATTTTTTTATATCAATGTTATTATATTAGGCAACTATCAATACATCCCATAATTTTATTCAGAAATAGGCAACCATATATACATTTATTCCAATCTAGGGATTTCTAGGGATATTTAAATGTTCAATTTAGGGAGGACAAAAATTTTCACATGGCAACCCTGTAATCTAACCCTCCTCTAATCTATGGACACTTTTTAAAGCGTTCACCGAGTCTATATATTATACGTCATTGGCGCAGACGTTCCGCCATGTTTTAGGAGGATATTAAAGAAATTAGTGTTGTTTATGTGGTGTGCATGGAAAAATTAACCAGGTTTATTTGACTTACGGCAATCATAGACATACTATACAATTATATTAACATTGTTAAATATAATAACATAAATATAATATAATTAAACATAAATATAAACAATTACATAACCACACAAATCATATGTCTGTGTCGTCCTAAAACATGGCGCGCGTGTTGAAAAACTTCAAAGGCGGCATCTGAGAGTGGCCCTTCTGTTTGTTTATTATTCTGTGTCACAACCAGAAGCGAAAGCTTTGTCGGAACCTTTGATGTTGGGAGGACAGAAATTCAGAGTGACAGTACTGACAGTGGCAATGAACCTACATTTGATTACACGAAGAAAAGTAGTGAGGAAGTCGTTCAATACTGTAGTAAATGATAGTTACACTGAGAAATGAAGTAATCATTTTTAAGTAATCTGTTTTGTATGAATTTAATTTTTTCTGTAAAATTTAATATAACTTATATATCAATTCTGAACTGATAATTAAAAAAATGTTAAGTCAAAAATATCGATTTGTTTTTTTTTAACAAACAAATTAACGTACTAAAAGTATTTTAGTACGTTAAAAAACCGATTGAATTTGAGAGTTAATTTTAAAATAGAGATGAAAAGCTTGATTTCTATTACTTTTTATCGTTTTTTTAAGGTTAATAAAACACTTCATCACTCAAAATCTATATTTTGACTCAAGACTTTTTTACTTATCAATACAGAATTATACTTTTGAAATTTCTATTAACTTTGTCTTAAGTTGCTGACTTTTTTGTTTCCTGTTGAGGAATTTCTTTGAATGTGAATATCTGTTAACCTCCAACACCACGATATTTTCGCTGCGCGTAAAAACTCTGCAGCTGCGGCTAGAATGACTGTATACATAATGACCTTAGATTTCTTTCTATGAATCTGAGGTCTCTGAAACTTCTGGTTGTATTGTAGTAAATTCAACTCGCCAAGACATATCAAATTTATGGTAGGAAAGGGTAAAAAGTTGTAATAAAACAGAATAATAAAAATTTATTGTAATTAATATACACGTATACCCCTTCGATTTCTCTTTCTGTGCATCTGAGGTATCTGAAACTTCTGGTTGTACAGTACTACATTCAATTCGCCTGGATATATCACATTTGTAGTAGGGAGGGGTAAAAAATTGTAATAAAACACAATAATAATAATAGAAATTTATTGTAATTAATACTAATAATAATGTTTATTTAGGAAGCTTAGATTATAATATAGATTTACAAAAATAAGCATACTTAACACTAAATAAATATGAAAAATCACTGAAATAGAGCTAAACTTCATTCGCTTAGCTCGGGCACATTTTGACAGATTCATTGTCGGAAACCTACAACACAACAATTCCTACTTCTCAGTATTAATAGCTCAAGTATACTACTATTGCAGTCTTCTTCCTTTGAAAAAGAAGAATTATTCGAAATAGTGGAAGTGTATACTAAACCCATAAAATTTTCCCTGTAAATTAAAAATACACTATTATTTGAGTTGTTACAATTTAATATATTGTAGTAAATAACTGTATTATTCGCGTTGTTTATTTTCGCTAATATAGTTTTATTGTTCTATTATTTTTGTTTAATTCTTTGTTAGTTCTATTTAGTTAATTAGTTAGTTCTATTTTGAATTTTATTATTAGGGATGGTCAAAGTTTTCCATTTGTTCTATTAGATAATGCGTTGGTAAGTTTTTCTGAAATAAATATAATAAATGTTGTTTAAAAGTTAATATTTTTAGATGAGTAGGAATGCTGTTAAATTAGAAGGTAATCAAACTGCACAAAGATTTATTCAAAACACCAACCATTTATTAAAATTATTTGCTCATTAGGCGTTGGTTGATCACTAAGATATTATAAAATTGTAAATATGTTCTTAATAACAAAAACATTTCAGTTAACATCCAGTTCAGTTTGACATGGCGTCAAAAATTAAATTCGCTTAGATATTTACAGCATATATCGCTTATTCAGCATTATTATTATCACTTAAAAAAATAATAAACTAACTGTAAAATATTAAACGTTTATTAAATATATTTTCAGAAACTCCAGCTAAATGCTAACAAAAAGTTTAAGTTGGTTGCCTACATTTGGCGCAATTTAACGATATAAACTAAATTATTTTTTATAAAATATATTTTTTATATATAATAGAAACTTACTTTCTTTATACATGCTATACATTTCTAAGTCATAGTATAAGTTTGCAAAAGAGGTCGACGAAATACTCTAATTAAATGTGCTATGAGCACGTGTGCTTGGTTGTATAGTAATTTCCAGCCACTTCTAGTCTGTCAAAAAGTAACTAACTTCGTAAAAACATAATTACTAAAATCACTAGACAGTTCGGACTGGGATTAGAGAACCGAGTATACCATAAAAGTAGCACCCCTTGTGTGTGATACTTAAAAAATATATGTGCAAAAAAGCAAATATTTAACAAATGTATTAATATAAACAGTTACATATGCGCACTTACAAAAATACATTCATTTTAATATAGCATGTGACATAAATATGTCAATAAATTCGAGAAATATTGTAGTTGGTAAACAAGGTATATTTCGATATTTTTATTTATTACTGTAATGTATTGAAACCCAGTACTTGTTACTTAAATCTCTTTATTACTTGCTGCCATTTTACATATTAAGAATTAGGTTAGTTTTTTACACTTTTTATAGACAGATAGTCCTTATCTTATTTTGGCCTTGTATGTAACACTATTACAGCCAGTAGCTGTC